GACATAATCACAGCTATGAGAAAAATAAAACCCCCTTACGTGTCAGTACTGCCTGTGTCCACTGACAGGGAGATTTCCTTTGAGGAACAGACTCTGCACCTGGGCTCCAGCAAAGCACTAAGGGGAGCCCAAATCTGCTCCTGTTTCTGGACTTGACGTTATGATCAGCTTTGTTACTACCTCTTTCAAGGGCAAGCATATTCAAAAACTTATTCCCCTCAGTTTTCATTCAAATTCCTTTTTCTGTATGGTTTTACTTAAGAATAGCAGCTAACCAAATACGCATCTTAGCTCTGGTGATGAAATTATGAAACACATTTATTCTTATGAGAAACCAGTACCTGTAAACTCTTCTGCAGATGGACATATTCTCTTTTCAATTCCTACAGAGCGGCCACTGAGGTTTGTCAGGACAACAAATGGTGATGACCCTGAAAAACCTGTGTTCCCATACTGCAAAAGATGCAGTCAGCCACCTCTGACACAGAACCCTTATTGATTTTACACTTTGACTTTCTGGAGAACTCTGGGTGCTTCACATCACTGCCCAGCACGGATGGACCACTTTGAGACTCAAATTTAGAGGCCATCACTCATCGTGTTCCTCCACAGTGAACAGGAAGATCACAGCATCTTCAACCATTAGCAACTATTAAGCTGTTATTCTCAAGCCACGTGCTGAACTGTGCAGACCTGTGTCACTGAACCCTTGTGCTCTGGGGCCTCCCAGCTCCAGCAGCAATGCCGCAGGTGTAATGGTGAGCACAGAGATCCAACCCGAGCACGTCCATCATCGTTCTGAACCCGAGCGTCCCTCAAGAGTCTTCACACACCTATGAAGACAGCTCATCCATCAGAGGAAGGAGACAAGCAGACTTGTCTTTAAACAAGGTCAAGAAATGATGTTTCCACAAATAATCTTTTTTTTTTAGTTAAACAAAGACTGAAAAGTAATTTTTTGCAAACTCTGGAAGATTGATGGCATGATTAGGAGGAACTAAAAAACAAAAGCAGACAGACCAAACAAGGTGAACAGACCATAACTTTATTGGAGATAGACTCAGCTACAATTATTACAAAAAACTATTAAAGGTAATTGTGATCCATAAGGTGCAGATTGCAAACTTCTGCAGCATGATTACAGTATGAATGAATTACATTTTATGTCCCTTAAAGACAGCTGCAGCATGTGATGGTAAATATTTTATTGTCCATCAAATTATATTTGTTATTCATTCTACTTGATTTTAACCATCTTTTCAGTCAAACTATTTACAATAAAAATGCCTGCAATTTCCAGCTCTCGTTCACAAACGTTTCTCTCTCCAACTTGCTGCTGCAGTAAATTCTGAGTGCATCTACAAAGCAATTAAAGTAGTCTGTGGTTGCCATTCAAATAAAAGAGGGAAAAAACCCCAAGGACTTTACTGGATAAAATGTATTTTTAAGAAATGCAGTTAGCTTTGACAGAAGTTAATTTTAACTGCTAGTGGAGTATACTACAATGACCTCTAGATATCTGCTAACGTAATTCAGATTGAGTTACAGTTGATATTTAGATTACATTTCATGGTCATGAACTGTAGTGTTTTAAGTTTTGAACCTAATATGAAAGCAAAGAAATCAACTTTAGCTTCTCAAAAATCAGAGCGATCGGAAAAGGATCAATGTCAGGAATTAAGTACCAAAAATCAAAATCCTTCTCGCCTCACTCACACAATAAACACGGCGATTTCCAGGAGAAGGTTTCTGTAGGGAACCCCACCCAAACCATACAAACCCCGAATACTGTCAGCAGGTGTAGGACCACAGCACACCACAACGCTATTTGTCATTTTCGGGTGCTGCAGGATACAGAGATGTCACCTTCTACACAGACAAACGCACACAGCACAGTTATGTCATATGCAGCAACAAAACCCCCACATTTTCCAGCTTACGGTTCTGTATTTGCTTACAGGGAGGAACCCCCGAACTCTGTGACATCCGTATAAGCACAAGAGCTTCAGGTACGTAACAGGACGCAGTTCCATCGGCTGAAACGCCACCTCATCAGTTTGCAGCCACTGAGGATCTGGTGCCTTGTCCCTGGGCCACCCCTATTCCTCCCCAGCACAGAAACTGGTTCTCGTCCAAGTCACAACACACTTTGGAGTAATGACACTTAAAAATAGGCTTTTTTTTTTTTTCCTGTATGGACTTTAGCAGCATTGAGCTGAACAAACACTTCAGGAGCCGCTACTGGGCACTCAACATTCAGACCGAGCCGGTATTTAGTCGAGATTGACCGAATTACTAGGGGCCGTCTTCTCACATAAACCACATTAAATGGGTTAAGATGTTGGTTTGTTCAGAGAGAATTATTGGAGTGTCAGAGGTCATTCTAATTTTAATTACTTCACATAACAGTAAAATGATGTAGAAGAAAAACAACAGCTTTAAAATACAATCAAGAGTTGTTACACGTCTTTGTTGTATTTTTCCACGTACAGTAAAAATGCCACAGACATTACAAATGACCTATTGAAGTTGTGCAAGTAAATGACACATTGCAGGCATTATAATCATCTTTTTCAAATTCAGTAAATCAGAACAGCAGCAAGGCCAAACCACATTTTTCCTCTCTGTTAAGCATTTTTTTTTCCTTGAAATGAGGTAAAGCATGGTACCAAGTGCAATGCTTATTTGTGCTACATGAACAGAACAGCGCAAAAAAAGCCATAAAAATAAAAACGCAGCATAGTTAGGAGGACTGTTTAAAGTACAGTATAATAGGACTTAGATAAAAAATAAACCAAGGTTCATGCCAACTAACCCCCACACGATTTATGATGAGCCTGTGTGGTTGCTTTTGAAGATGGGTTGCAACAGTCCGCTCACACTTGTGCTTACAGCATGTCAAGTGATTTCTATCCCAACCTTCAAACCATCAGATTTAGGTCTTTAATAGCATACACTGTCCAATATCAAAATCATATCAACTGCAGGGTAAAACACACAGATGTATAACATGGAAACTAAGAGGAATTTCTATCTCAAAGGATAAAAAAAAAAATCTTTCAATGAGGTCACACTGGAAAAAATTACGGCATTTAAAACACATTTAAAAACGCATCAGCAGCAGAAACTACTTTATAGTCAGCCACTACACATTTCAGATTTCCAATTCATAGGCTTCATCTAGTAACAAAGTGATCATTAAACCATTCTGAAACACAGAGCAACTTCCGTTCGTTTCCTTTGCATCCAAACACTGCGTAGCACTTCACTGCTGACAATTCCCTGAAACCCCTGAGAATCCCCTTGTAGCCATCAATACCAAATTTTAGGCATTCAACGACTTAAACTTTACTTTTTCATAATGCAGTTAAGATTACTGAAGACTTTCTGCTGGGCTGATTTCACCTTCTGATTGAAGTCTGTCCAGAAAGGCAGAGTTGTTAACATCAGTAACCCTGGATTTTCACTAAGAGACTTCGCTCCTGCCACGACAAAAGAGCAAGAACTTAAATTGCTGATTTTTTAAACAGCTAACTCGAAGCAATTTACCTCTGAAAATTCAGACTGCACGTTTCTATTGTTCCATCTCATTTACACTTGTTTTATACACATCGAGACTTGCAGGTCTTACAGTTTCCTGTTATATTTTCATGACTGAAGTACCAAACAAATGCTAGAATTTTTTAGACGCTGGTATTTCAATTCTCGGTCCGACTGCTGGGACAATGCTGCTTTCAAATACAAGAATGGTCCTTTTGGCAGAATGAAAAATGTCTGAGATAGAAAATATAGGAACTTTTGAAAACTGTGTTTCAGAAAAGCTTAACGTCTACCCCTTGTCACTAAGGCATTTATTTTAATTTTCTTTGTTAAGAAAGCGAGAGCTGACAGCTTTTGTTTTGTTTAAGTGTGCATTTGTGAGGAAAGAAGTAGGGTTTAAAAGCAGGAAATACAGTATTTATTTCTAATTTAATACATAAGACACAGCATCATTTCAAACTACTGTGCTGGAAAACGCTGAAACACCTTGCTCTGCTTTCTCAAACTTCAAGCATAATTAACAGGGCAAAATTGCAGCAAACCTCTACTGATATTGGTGGGAATACGAGACCCACAGCTTTTTTAAAAGGTAAATTAAGAGGTATTATAGTTACAGTGCAAAAAATTAAAATTTCAAGCATAATATATAAACATAGCACCAAAACAGAAAAAAAAAGAATGCATGCAAAACCAGAAGGAAAAAGAAAAGAAAAGAAGAACTGAGGTATTTAAGTGAAGAGTGCCTACAAAAATCTAATTAAAGAAGTATAGGCAAAGCCTAAAAAATAAAAGTATGATTTCCCCCCCATCCCCAGTAGACCAAAACACCAATGAGCTAGTTTCTCTAAATTAAGGACCTAAATCACAGATGTATCAAAAGTACGGCAGTTATATCTCAAACACCAGCTTTCATGTTATTGAACAGCACAGCTTTGGTAGGTGAAATATGCATGCAACTCTGAAAAGTACAGTAAGAAATTTACGTGGAAATATCTCTAAGTGTAAAGGTGCTCTGTTTGTTAAATACGTAACCAATTGACTATAAAATCTGCAGCATATTTTAGGTGTGATATGTCTAAGGTTATTTTGTTAGTGACAGTTTGCACTGTGCAATTATTCGTCGCTGTTTCCAGTATTGGAACTATCTAGCTTGCACGTTTGTGTAAAATCGGAATTTTAGCCAAAGACCATATTTTGTTTATGGTATAAAAAAAACTGTAGACTAACCACCTCCTCAGAATTGTTAAAAATAACCTAATTACATATATATGAATACAATTTCTATTATAATCCTGTTATAAGTCACAGCTATAGTAATGAGTTGTACTGTAAATATAGAGCTGTATCATTGTAAAATGCATAACAAAACGAAGGGAATGTAAAACAGTTTGTTCCAAAAAGGATCAGAAATTAAAGATTATTAATGAGGGTTTAATTATTCTTAAGGCAAGAACCTTTTTTTTATTCAAGACTGTGTGGCATAAGGAAACTGAAGTTTCATTCTACCAGTATGCCAGCCATTTCAATTAAAATCTGTCCCTAAGAAACAAGTGCAATAATGATTGGGAAATGCCATCTTAATGTAAAAAGATGACATAGAGAGGAGAAAAAAAATAAAAAGGAAAAAAAAAAAAGGAGAATACTGGCACACTTATTCTTTCTTACACCAAATCAACCAGTACAGTTTAACAACTGCTTTATGACTGGCACTAGTGCACAGATTGAAGGATTTCAAGATTACTATATATAAATCTAGCAACTGCATTAGGCGTAAGCTCCCTGGCCTTCTAACACTAAGCAAAGCTGTACTGACAAGAAAAGTAAACCAAAAAGACCTGACAACAATTATTCTGAACACTTGCTAAATGTCATCATTAAAGCACTCTCGTGATTAAACAAAGCAGAAGTGAGGAAAGAAGACAAGATTGTGTTTGCGCAAAAAACTATAACTACAATTAGTTCCAAAATTTCATACATGTTAAACGTTTTGTTATCTATTCTGTTATCAAACAAACTTTAAATTCTGTCTTCCAATTTGTTCCTCTCAACATCAACATTTTTAAAAATTTGCTTTATGTGTATTTGCTTTTTTTCCCCCATTTTACTCATTTTGAAGAGGAGTCTCAGCTGTTTGGGACCTGAGGTTGATTTGCTTTGAGGCTTCGTAGTGCTCTTCTCGCAGCCGCAGATTTGGCAATCCTGTAGCTTCTGCCAACACCTTTGAACTTTCCCTTTCCTACGACTTCCACCGTGACTCTGACCTTTCCATCATAAGTTCTTTCTGCAGGGCTGCAAAAACGCACACAAGAATTACTTACTGCTGAGGCAAGTTAATGTGAAATAAGAGACCGACGCTGTCTTTTCCACAGAAGTTCAAGCAGTGCAGTTAAACAGAAATCGTTACTTTCCTCAGAAAGTCAGGCAAGGAAAAAACTACGAATCAATAAACACAATTATCATGATAGCTGCTTAGTGCAAAAGGCATTAAAAGTAATTTGTGACATTTAAAAACCCTCAGTAGTTTATGAAGCACGGCTTAAAAAGATTGCACAGCAACGTGGACCGAAGGAAGCGTATTCTTACCTAAATTTGGCTGTCTCTGGCTCCATCTCCAGCAGCTCTCGCACTGGGGAACGGGGAACATTAGCAGAAAATTTTTCTATTTGGAAAAAAAAATAAAATTAAAAAATTAGCTTTGTTCTCTTCACAGCAAATGGCTCTTAACTGTTATTTCTTTCTGAAAGCTGCCCATACCTATTAATGGCCTCATCATTGGATAGTACACTTGCCAAACCATTTCCAAAGACATTCCACTATCCATATAAATGGCACCAGCAAGGGACTCAAATATATCCCCCATGGCCTTTGGTACTTCAATGTCTTCCTCTTTTTCTTCATCTTCTTCAGATCTTCTGAGCTGTTTGCAATTAAAAAATCCGAGCAGGGGGAGGAGGAGAGAGAAGGGGAGGAGAAAAGAGAGAAACAATTACTGCATTTAAAATAAAACAAAGATCTTCAGAAATGTAAGCTCTCGTACATCCTATCCTGAGCTGCTTGCTTGAAGTTTTTCATTGACAACTTTCCACAGCGAAATTGTTCTCTTTATTCCCCAGTGAAACCAAGTTGCTGGATATATCGTTTTTCAAAAGTGAAAAAAAATAATCCCAACCCAAACACCATTGTGTACAGAGACCTCGCAGGCTCTGTGAATTCCTCCTGTAATAATTTTGGAGGATTTCACCACGGGTCTGGTTTTTCCAATAAGAAACAGACTTGGCTCTATCAGTTAATACTAGAAAGCAACTCGTAACAAAGGCAGAGTTCAGACATAAAACATCTCCTAGAAGGAGACTTTAAAATCTGTAATTGCGATCTCTGGATGAAAGTTGGATGTACCTTTCCTTACCTCATTTACCCCAGAAGACAAGCATGAAACCATCAGTAAAAAAAGCCATTAATAACAGGTAACCAGCGACATCAGACTGAGCTAACAGGCACACTTAGGCATTTTCTAAAGGTAGCATGCAGTGTTCTTCTATGCTACTAATTTCAGACAACAGTCTATTTATTCTCATTATTAAAACTCAACTTGCAGCATGGTCTTGAGTTAATTTAATTCTTTACTAAAAACACCTCTAATACATATAACATACATTCACCTAAGACCAAACAAAGTAACCTGAAAACAAAGTTTGACCATTACTTTCCTCTGCCTAAAGAGAATTAAGCTTCTGCCAGTCTCTGCTCCGAGCAGCTGCCCTCCCACTGCATTTAGCCCCTATTTGGGGTTTAAAACCCGATTCAGCCCTCTTAAGAGTCACCATAATACATCATAAACCAGTCCCACCCAGTATTTCTACCTAAAATAAATCAAAGAGGTCAGACCTGACGTGCACACACTCCAAAGGGGAATTTTGATGCTAAAAACCCAAATTTGACTGTTTTGAATGGCGCATTTCATACCAAGTGCGAACTGAAGCACTTTTGAATTATACTGACTTAACAGAAGAAGAGAGAACCCAAGAGCTACAAGGCAAGGGACAACAGATGTTTCAGGAGTGAGATTTGAAAAAAGCAAAGCAGATGACGTGGAGACACACATGGAAACCAGCCTAGCTGGCACGGCCGGCAGAAACAAAGACTCTTGCATTGACTCTGATGAAATAAAGAGTTTCAGTAATTCAGTGCCAGACCAAGATAGGGAGCAGGCGTAGGGAGAGCGAAACAAGAATTTTATTTGAAACAGCTATCGCACAATTTGGTTGCCACTTTGGTGGAAGTTTCTAGGCAATCATTTTTGCATGCTAGCAAAAACTGAACAAAGCTAAAAAAAAATCACTGCTCTGAGCTCCTAACATCTAAAGTAAGTTTTTAGACTTTTCACTCATACTGTGAAGAAAACAAGACAGGTAAGAGCTTGATCCTCTGATGTAAAATAATTTCTGTTAACTAAATTTAAATTTCTTAGTCAGTGTTTTCTGAATCTTCCCATAAAACACACGGATTTCACTCTGCAAGGGCTGTAAGCACATATATGTAACTGAAGTATTTTGATTCCCAACCTTTTAAATTGCGTAACAGAAAGAAGAAATTACTAAAGACAAAGACAACATGTTTATTTACTGCTGGAGCTATTCTCAGACAGAATTATTTTCCAAGAGACTGGTCATGGTTTTTCAGACGACAAACTATCAGTGATACCTATTGGATAGCACTCTTCAAGAAAGGATGATGAGAAAGTCCATCTCTTCCCAATCCCAGATCAGAATCTGACTCACAGGGCCCTTGCTCTCATACATTTTCTGAGCAGCTTATCCAAAATAATTTATTAACACAGGAGGTTCCACTTAAATTTGAGAAGAAACTTCTTCTCAGTGAGGGTGACAGAGCACTGGCCCAGGCTGCCCAGAGAGGTTGTGGAGTCTCCTTCTCTGCAGACATTCAAAACCCGCCTGGACGCCTTCCTGTGCAACCTCATCTGGGTGTTCCTGCTCCAGCAGGGGGATTGGACTGGATGAGCTTTGGAGGTCCCTTCCAATCCCTAACGTTCTGTGATTCTGTGATTTCAGACCATTCTCCAACAAATAGAGTTCATGATTTGCTTTCCTGCATAGCACAGATATGATCTGTGTTTGCAGGTCTTCAGTTAAACTATTTTTCAAGTGGTTTATTTGAAAGATGCATACAATGTTTTCCTGCCTAGAAGACAGAAAGCCTTTAGGAGCACATCAAACACACCCGAGTACAGTGCAGTGACACCTGCTCCAGCAGAAACAATCAGAATTAAAACAGTGGAAATCTGTCTGTGTGCTTCATTAAAGAATCCCAGCACTGTGTCACGGTAGTATTGGTCATGATGTTGCATGGGTATTTTATCCTGAGTCAGTATTCTGTGATTTAGTAACTCTTCATCACAATTTCATGGTATAGCAGTGCTCCCAATCAGTCAGTGAAGAAAGCAAGCTAAGTGGTATTTCCCCCACCCACGCTGTTCTAACAACACAAAAGCAAAACAGTGACTGAAATCAACTGTCATAGAACAATCTAGAGGCAAACTTGTTTAAATTTAATTATTTTCTGAATGTTCTTATTGACTTTATACTTTCTGAAGATTGTATTTTACTTTGAGTATCGCATGCTTTATTACTGGGAGCCTGCTGCTTTGGCTGCCGCGTGCATGAAATTAAAACATCACAAAAACGCACATCCGGCTGAGAAATCCAGCGACACGCTTCAAATCAGACACTGAGCACATTTCTTCTGCTGCCACTAACCTCAGAATCCATTCCTTGCATTTCATTCTTTTCCATCTGAAACTGCACAAAGTCATCGATAACGTGGAACAGCTCAGGAGAGACCGCTTTGAAGTACTTGTGGTAGTCATACTTCACAGCCAACGATGCAAAAATGGTATTATTGACTAGAGCGGATCGCAGGTCAGTGAGAACTCCTGGAGAGTGTTGCCGTGGGTCTTCATAAAGGTGCTTGGTTATGAGGTAGTCCAAAATTGCATCTCCCAGGAATTCCAAGCGCTGGTAACAATCTGAAAGTGTTGGAAAGAAAAAGAACGTACAACGAGACAATGAAGTTCAACACAGGCATTCCTTCCAGGCCTTTCTAGACGGGAGGTCTGCTGCACTGCCATGTGAATTCCACAGACCAACCCATGCCCACATCCGGTTTTTAAAACAGGTATCTTTGTGTTTAAAGATGCTGTTATTAAATTATTAAGAAACAATCAGAAAACCCTAGCAGTTGTATCTAATAAAGCCACTTTTGAAGCAAATGTTCCTTTGTCAGGCTAGCGAAACACTTGTGTTTATAATGAATTAATGCTTTTAGTCAAGATCTTCACATCAAAAATGTTAAAAATCAAGAGATTCCACCAGCAGGCTGATTGAAAATGATAACAATTAAACCTCCAAAATTATTAACAAAGGAATCAATGGATTTAAAGTAGGGGGAACATACAATTTGAGATTTTTCATCTAATTTGCCACACATTTCAATGTCTCAAAAAGCACTGAACAAAGATTCCTGTTCAGAATGGGTCTTTTACACTGGAACCTAAAACTGCCAAGCCTTTGCTGTTTGGAAAACTGACAGAGGACGTGGGAATGGAGAGCTATGAAAGTCTATATTTAGAATATAAACAACAGCAAAAATCCCTCCTGAAAGCAAACAGGGATAGGGGGGTTGAGAAGGAAGGAAGACAAAAATCACTACAAAAGTAACATGAGAGTGAAATGGCTGGGATTAAGTTGCTTTTGTAGCGGCTGAACCTAAGATGCTGCCAGAGCATGGCTGCTGCTTAAGAGAAAAAGTTCGAGGCACCCGCGATTAATTCAGAGTTATCTTACTTGGTACACAGACAAGGAATCCAAAGTTTCTGTTCCCAACAACTTGATTTCATCTGGACGCTATGCCTCAAGACTGCTGTGTGTGTATACCTCTATATCTATATCTATATATCTATATCTATATATCCATATATCCATATCTATATGAACAGGAACCACCTACCTTCTAGATGTTTTGTGAAATGTTTGTAAAAAGTAAGTATGTAAGTGGGTAATATTACCTAGATGAAAAACCTAAGGAGCCTTTCAGTGTTTTGTCAGAACTGTTTCTCAGTGTACCAACATTTCAAAATGACTTATTTCTTTAATTAAAGCAGAGCTTTCTTACTCCTTGGAATAAGGAATCAATTCACGATGGGGAGAAATTCAGAGTGCTGACTGCACAGGAATTTGGTGTTCACTTCAAACAGGGCTGGAATTTTACCATGGTTTGTTTTTAACTGCGTGTTATCATAGGAAAATATTTAAAGTTTTAGAATGAACGAATACTAAATTAATTAGTGTAAGCACAAGTAATTCAAGAAGATTAGAGAAATACAAATTTGTACTGCCGTAAAATCAAGTACAAGATCAAGTACAGGAACATTAAGCAGTTAACCTGAATTTAATATTTAGACTGACTGAGTCAACTGCTTCAAACTTTGCCTTTAAATATTTACTCAATAAAACGCCTAGTCCTAAATTAAGCTTTCCAATTCACAACTTCAAGCGGAAGTCTCCACATTTTGCTCTCCTGTCGACTACTCAGCTTATAAAAGTTGTATAGTCTACTTTTAATCTTCAGAAGTACAGTCAAATGGTAATATTTTTGGGATTAAATTATGGGACAAATTGGCTAAAAATATTTGCAAAACAAGATCACTACTTCCAGAAGTACACTGCAATGTTCCAGATTCCTAGAAAAACTTATTTCAGCTAAATAAGGATCTAATATCAGTCATACACAACAATACAGCATCAGAGATACAGCATCAGAGGTGAAAAACGCTGCTCTTTCCCAAAACTTAGGCTCCAATACATCTTCTATCTGTATCAAGTCAAAATATGAATAATCACTGAGATACAGTTTCAACAAGTATCTCTCTCTAAATAAGGGGAAAGATACTGTTCTGTGCAGGGACTATTGACTTAAAGTAACATGAGGTCTGAAAAAAGACTACATATGGGAACACAACAAATACAGCTTCTCTTTCATTTATAATATAGATAAAAACCTTTGTTTCTTTAAGACAACTTACCAGTAATGGTATTGTAATGGTACGAGGCATGAGTAAATGCCTGAAGAAGATAAGCCTTGTTCTTAAAACTGTAGTTTATTTTCTTCTCAAAGTTTTCAAAACCAGAAATAAGGTGATTTAGGGTTTTCTCAGCATCTGGGTGATCAAACATACACCTCGGTGGAATCTTCAAACAGCCATACTCCAGGTCTTTGTACAGAGAAGGCTCTGAATTAGCTACAGAAGCAGAAACAGAGTTTGGTGAAAGGTTTTTCTGCTCACTGATACAATTCTCTCTGGTAGCACACAAAGTGCCGTCCCAATCAGTCTTTTTAATTACAGGGAGCACCTTCAGCCCCAGGGAACACAGGAAAAGCTGAGCAGCTCTTTCACCACAGCTGGTCAGGTAGCAGCCCAGCAGGGCCTCCACGCAGTCCGCAATGCTCTTGTCAGCAATACACTGCTCTGTGTGCAGGTCGTACGAGATCGACTGTTTTCCCGCATCAACACCACAGTTTTCTTCCGATGGATTCCAGAAGCCCACTACAAAATCATCCTCTTCGACAGCCTTGCTAGGATCCAGGTAGCACATTGCATCCCAAGAGCTGTAGTCAAAATCATCAAAATCTGATGAGAACTGAACATTGCCCAGGGATGACTTTTTGGGTGCTTTCCATTCGTAGTTTGAATCAGTGGTTGAAAAGTGAGAGAGAGAAATTTTCTTCACAAAAGCCCCTGATCCCATTAACATATTATCAATGAATTTGATATGCTCCTGATCGTACTCCAGAAAATCATCCTCAAAGTCTGTTTCTTCCTTGGGTGCCCTCCACATTAGGTCTTCATCCTCTTCATCATCATCATAATCATCAAGTTTGCCATTAGCCATCAAGTTCTCCTTTGTCTATGAAAGAACACAAGAAATACGGTACAACGGAGGGAAATGACAGAACTTTTATTCCAGAACTGTCAGAAGAGTAGGATAACTACAGAAGTAGCTGCAAATTAATTCAGTCTACTTGGCAAACTAGTGGGAAGTAAATTTAGTGAATCAGTGCAAGTGGTATTTTTAAATTACAGATCAAAACCAAGAGTCCAATACCAGCCGGTTGGCTTATGTGGGTGACAGTTTTGACTCCATGCGTTGGGGATTCAGTAAGTGACCTTGCTGCTTCTCAGATGTTAGACATAGGCCATTTTTTGGTGCTGTAAGAACCAGAGCACAAGTTAAGAATTCTTAACTTGAACGAATATGAAGTTTCTCCAGTTTGTCATACATTCAATATAACCAGGATTTCAGCATAGGATTTTATTTTTATATATAAAACTGGAAAAGCAGCAAAAGGGGCACACTTCTGTAATATACAGTTCTGGTGTTTGTTTTTAAACTGAATACTAATGTACACATTAAATCATAAAGTAGGATAATAACCCAATGCAAAGGCAACTAGTATTAATGTCATCCTTTAAATAAGTAGGTATTTGTTTGAAGTTTTGGGCTTTTACAGGCTATACTTATAGACTTAACTAACCAAAAGAAAAGTTAAAGTTGGCACTAATTTTCTAATACTTACTTACATCCCTACAAGGGCAAAACTGATGATGTCTCATGTCTTTTTTCTGCTCGTATTGAGCAAATTGTTATGAACTGATGTAAATTATGAATTGAACACAGAGGTGCCCAAGCTATACAACGCTGCACAATTTGCCATGGCCCCACCAGGAAAGCACTTCAACATATGAGCTAAATGCACAAGTAGCTTTCCTAAAAATCAAAAGGACCATTCACAGGCTCAACACAGCATCACTGATATCGGTGGGAATTCTGCCACTGAATCTGATAGGAGAAAGATCCTACAAAGTGGTTTCCTGGATTAAGTCCTGAAAGCCAGCAGCATTTTGAATCAAGTGAAACAGCCTGAATCAGCCCTCGATCTCTGTATGTCGTATCAATATGTCCCAGTCACTTAATTTTGAAAATTTTAGATTTGAATTTGAAATTTTGAACCAGATGTTCCCACTGAGGACTTCTCCCTTTGGGCCAAATGCACGACTTGAGAGGTGTGGCTGGGAGCTGTAAGGAGCACCAGGCAGCACCTGAAACCATCTAAGGATCAACCAGATCGTGATGTTCCTCATCAGGATGGAGCAAGTTCAGTAATGAGAGGAGAAGAAAAAAAAAAACAGTGGCTGCAGAAATTCACAGGTTTTTGCCAAATTCACAGACATTTTGCCCAGAGAATTTCTGCTGCTGTAATTACCCATCTGACATACACAGCAGGGATTTCTGTAACGTCAGTTGACCAGAGATAGTAAAGTTTGATTTGAAATAGTTTGGGTACTTGTAGCAGTGTAATGCTCAAAATAAGACTAATTTAACCAGTCCCAACTAGAGCTAGTGCTGATTTTTTCTTGTTACACATCACCTGTCTCATCTGTCACTGAAATAAAAATACACTCTCTGAACGAGGTATGTCCATATGGGTGACTCAAACCAGATTTCGGTGTCTGTTCTCAAAGATTGAACAAATGGGAAATTTCAATTTTACTACAATTTTGTTCACAAGTTTTTTTAAAAGAAAATAAATTTTCATTAGCAGGACAGCTTCATGAGCTACCCTAGTGCTGTCTGCACATCGCTTCCTGCACAAAAAACCAGTAATGAAATTCTAAGTGGTGAGAATGAGGAGTAGGTAACAGAACCCGTTAGACAGCATTTCAAAAATATATCAGTCAACAGTGAACCCCAGAAGAAAGAATCTTTTCTTAAAGAATATCTGATTGATTCTGAAAAAGTTATGGCTACTTATAAGCTGAAGATAAAGACATGTAAGTGCTTTTTTGGTGTGCTATTTGAAAATCAGCTGTTCGATCAAATGAAAAAAGGAAGATCTTTCCCCTTAATAAGTCTTCATAAAACACACACACACAGAATCAACTACGAATTTTACATTCAAGAAAGCAAAATATGTACTTGGCACAAAAAAACCCACACTCAGTTGCATCACTGTCTGCATTTTAGTCTGAAATTGTGTTTTAAGCACAAATAAACTGTGACTAGCAAAGAGAAGGAGCCCACTGAAAAGTTATAGAGAACTGAAAGCTTTTTAAAAGCAGTGATTAGTTCCTGTCCCAAATGTGCTATTTTATTTTTAGAAAGGAATAGCAGTAAGTCTCTCTGAAATGAAGTCTTGGCACAATACAGAACCACAATAATCAGGTTGTTTTATTCCGCAATAAACATTTATTTGCACAGTACATCCATCTAATGGTCCCTCTCCTGTGCCCTCTGGTGGTTCTACAATCCCGGTGTGGTCTTCAGAATTGAGAAGGAAAAAAATCCCTCTGCCCCCTTCCTCTGACGGCCAAACTGGTCTCAAAAACATAAATATTACGTTACTGACTGCTGTGATCAGTGGTATTTCTTATCAATGCACTTCTACTCCAAACATACAATGAGTTTAGTCAGAAAATAATTTGAATCACTCCTCATGAAGATTTGTGAAGCTTTTGGTGACAGACAGCGGGGGTGTGTGAGTCAGCACAGTATTCTGGATGGGGAGTAGCTCTACAAGACCCATGGATTAGCAAACAGCAACCAATATTGAACATTCAAGACAGTTCTGATCTTCATCCCGCCTCAGCACTATGAAAAACAGCAACTCCCTTTCATATATCCCACAAAAGTGATGTCATTATTTATTAAAAAGCAGTCTTCTGCCTATACATATCACAGCAAAACCAGTAATGATAAATGCGTGTACAATTTCCAAGAGAAATTTCAGAAAAACTCCTGAGAGCATGCTAACTACAAGCAAAAGAGCGTTTCTTCTCTGCTTTTCTATTAATACATACACTCATTACTGGATGATGTTCAGTAAATTTCCTTACTTCGGGCTCTATTCAGGAGCAGTTTTCCTCTCATTTTCCCTAAGTTATAGTGAAGTTTTAGAAAGGAAACAAAGCTACAGATTTACTTTGGTTTTGGCTGAAAACACAGCAAAATATTTGGTGGGTGGAGGAGGTAGGGGTGAGAGAGTACAGACACACAAGTCATTACGTCCCACCACACTTAAATCAGGTCTTACCATTTCATCTTTCTCCCACTTATCAGTGCTGCTCTTGTCCTGGTTCACGATGTAACCAGGAGGAAGCCAATTGACCGGCGGATCAAAAATGGAAACCACCATTCGACTGGGCAGTCCTTTCTTTTTGCCAAGGCGATACAAGTTACAGTTGCTGACCTTCAAGAAAAACATTCTGATAAATGTCTGGACATACATTTACATAAAAATAGGTTAAAATGCAAAAGGAGCAAAGCACTTTTACATGTCAAGCCAGATCTTGTACCACTATGCATCTTCTCTAGTTCTCAAAAGGGAGCTCAACTTTCCTAATACGGTACCACCAGTGCAAAGCAAGGCACAGATTTTTAATCTTTTTTTTTTTTTAAGGACAAGCATACTGGGTGTGACCATTTCAGTTAAAGAAATCGGACATATTAAGTTATCTTTGCAAAATAAAATTATTGCTACCTCTAAAATCATAGTCAATATAACCTGTACAAGTGTCATTAATTACCAGTATTAATAATCGACATTCAGACTAGACTTCAAATGAAAAATAATTGCCATGATGAGTAGACTGACCTAAACCCTGGCAGCAGAAAGTGTTAAAACAGTTCCGTATAACAGATCTTATTAAGTCATTACCAGATGTTATTTTGAGAGCCTTTAAAATTCTTTTAAATATTTTAAAGGGAAGGGATAAAAAGCACTCTCGCATACACAGACACACTTCTTTTTCATTTTTAACTATAAACTTCTAATCTTTGTTTCTCATTTTAAACATACTTTCCATGTTTCTTTTTAAAGTCTTGAAATTTGAACATGAAAACTCAATCACTTCATTTATTTGAACTGTGCAATTCATTTAACCCCCCTTATTTCACAAGATTAAACTACTCAATCATTTAATTCTCACTGATGCATTTTATTAGAGGTATACAGTCAAATCTTTAGCATTTAATTCAAGTTATCACATAACGCGGGGAAGAAAACCAAACAAAGTTTCACATGATGGATTATTCCACAATTTAAAACCAGCAGCAGCAGCACTGAAGACTGCTCACCACTGTTTACATTCACTTCAAAACACTTTCAAAAGGTTTCATACGACGGTTCTGTAAGACTTTTTGTTGTTACATTTTTAGAGCTCCTGTAAGACCAGGCTAAAATTTTTCAAGGAAAGTAGCTTACTGAGGAAAAAAAAAGGCAAGGTCAAACAAAGCTGCAGCTTAAGGCTCTGTGCTGCTACCTCTTACACTTTCATTCAAGCACTAAAAGAGTTTCTACTCAATACAGCTCGTGTTCAGTCCACCAAACATCCTCACTAACCCAGAATTTTTTGTTCTGTTCAGCCCTGCCCTCTCTTAGGCTGGTAATCAGCTGGTTTAAATTTCCAAATGAACTGCAGAAAGCAGTTTAAATCAATCACAGTTAAGACAACATTAATCCTACACTCCTGTATTTTTATTCCTAATATGCACGCTACCCAATCTATAATCAGTAAAGCTGTGGAATTAAATCAACCTGTGGCCATTCAATCTTCTAGT